GTGCAAGTGTGTGTGTGTGTGTGTGTGTGTGTGTGTGTGTGTGTGCATGCGCACATGTGCGTGCACGCGCTCGCACGCATGCACTAAACAAGCCCATACAGAAGCTACAAAGGTATATATAGTAATAACTGTGTATAGATGCGACGATATTAACTGTTATTTATACTTTGACTAGGTCACAGTCGAACAATTGTTGGAATTGAAGAGAAAAAAAACCGAACATTATGTTTACTAATATTTGATCCTGGATGTCCGTCCCGAGAAATGCAGAAACTGTTAAGGCAAGACGTAGAGGCTGGTAGTCTCAGGCAGCTACGGAAGTCTGTGGGAAATCTAAAACATAAGCAATACCAGATAGTAGCAGTAGAGGGAGTTCTTTCACCAGAGGAGAAAGTTGTAAGTATCTCAGTATTGGGGGAAGTAGTTTACATTTTTTAGTTAAAATCAGCATTCTCTCTTTTTATCTCCCCACAGCTCATTCTGTTCCATGAAATGGCAAACCCATTTGACTTTGCTATCACTGAGTTTCTAGAATTGCCATTTTTAAATGTAGATGACACCTAAATATCTTGCTTAACCTAGCTGGGGTGGGCACTGTGGACTGTTGAGCAGTTTCCAGCCTAAGGTCTGGAAATTTTATGAGGAAATTAAAAAGAGTGCTTATTTGAGTATCTCACATTTGCTTCCCTCTAAAGATGAGACAGAATTCGAGAGGGACATGAAAGAACAGGATCAAGGAGGAATGTTTGAAGCAGGAGCTGACCAACCTCAGCTTCTTACCTGCAAAGAGAAAGACAAGGACTTCTTACTAGGTTACTCAGTTTAATGATGCTTTAAAAGATTTCTTTGCAATGTCTTTAATCCCCGATTTCAAAAGAAAAGTCAGAACTGAGAGTGGGTTGGTAGGGCTGGGGGGGAAGCAGAAAAGGGTAGAGGTGGTGAGAATAATCAGAACGCATTGTATATATGCATGAAATAGTGAAAAGAAAAGAAAAGAATTCAGTAAAACTTATTTAAAAGTACCAGATCTTGGGCTGGAGAGGTGGCTAGATTCCTTCCAGAGGCTCCACAGGCCCAAGCGCTGGATGAACTGCAGGTCTAACTTTACCACTCATTGTAAGTGTCCATATTCATAACATGGAAATAATAACCATTTACCTTACAGTGATGACATCCATGTACATTGACATACATAAAGTGCTTAGGACAGTTATAATTCTTAAAGGCACAGCTACAATCTAACAGTCCCCTAACACCAAAGGAATAAAGTCAAAAGTAAGGAAAAGAAAAGACGTGTTCAGTATTCTAAGAGCAACAGTGACCCACTTTCCAAAACTGAAAATGGAAAAGCCAATTAACATGTTGTTCACTTGGAGCCCATGACAATTCCTGATCACCACTATACTCTTAAATGTTACTGTGACCGATAAGCAAACATTGGTACCCTTAAGAAGAATTAAAGTGATCGCTAACTTTATTTGTATAAACTAGTAATAGTAAAAAGAAGATACAGGGTTGACAAGATGTCTCGGCAGTAAGAGGTGCTTGCTGTCAAGCCTGACAGGATCCACCTATTATAAAGAGAACTGACTTCATAGTTATGCTCTGAGCTCTGTGCATGTGTACACACAAACACACACACATGCATAAATAAAGCAATAAATGTAGCTAATTTAAAAAAAAAATAGCAGCATATATAATTTCTAGATTGTAATTCATATCTTGTTTTCTTCTCAATTCTTTTTCCAGGCCAGAAAGCAAGCGTCTCAAGTGTTCACAGCAGAGAAGATTCCTTGAATGAAATACTTTGGTGTTTTTGTACTTATCCTTTTTTCTGATATTGAACTCTGATACAGTTGAAGAATTTGATTTCACTTAAGTCCTTGATATAATATTTAAGTTATAAATGCCTGTTAAGTTATACTTCTTAGTACTTCATTGTCTAGTAATTAGCTGAATAAAATACCTTGTTTGTATTGTTTCATTTCTTGACCATCCATGTCTCAGAAACTTGCTTTATAGTTACAAGTTAATATTAATTGGCCCATTACTTGTATGAGTTACTCTTAGTACTTAACGTCTATTGATATGTTTAATTTTAAAAGTTATTTGAGGCAAGCGCTATTAGCCCCATGAAGAAGCTGAATCGCTGAGATTAGTGATTAGCCCGAGAGCATAACAAGCAGGAGCACACATCCGTCTCACCCTATTTTCCACTGCTGTGTTAACCGGGCTTTTTCTCTGTGACAAGCACATGATGTGCCCATTTAAAGGAGGGAGGTTTCTTTTGCTTCAAGGCTTCAGTACTTGTAGGCCCCCTCTGTGGTGAGACAGGGCACCATGGCTGTAGACTGGTGGTGCTGGGGCGGAGCCACTGACTCACTGTGACCAGAAAGCAGGGAGAGACTAGGAACAAGACATACCCTCAGGCACACAGCCACACTGACCTGCTTCCTCTAGTTCTCCAGTAGCGACATCAGAGAATCCACCAATGGCTGGCTAGAGTGGTACCCGCTTGTCTGGTCCTTTCAACTCAATGACTGGATCTACCAGTTGGGTCCAAACTTTGAACAAATTAGCTGTTTGGGGGGGGGGGGCAACAACAACTTCTGTTATCATATAATGAGAGTCCCTCCTTAAATTGTAGTAGTCGTCTTGAAAGGACTGAGCAGATCTATAACAGGCTGCTCGGTCTTCTCTCAGAGATCAGTCCTCTATTTCGGTGTCCTGAGACTGACCAAGCAGTTTCTGAGGTAAAGCCAGGAATAAAGGACAGTCAGTCTCCAACACCCCTAACAGCAAGGAGGAGGCCTGAGCCAGCCTCCACAGCAGCTCAAGGACAGGGTTTGGGACTTGTCCAAGCCTGCCCCAAAATGGAAAACTGTAGCCCTGACCAGCCCCTGATTAGCCCCAGACAAGAACGTGCTACTATGATTGCCCTTGCTTAAGCCAAACATATCTAAAATGACCTAACTTCCGTAGACACTCCCCTCCATAAGGCTTAAAAGAAGCCCCCACTTCCTCCTCAGGGTATAGCCGTCTTGCCTTTTAGTAGGATGGTCAGCCCCAGAGTGCTGGAATAATAAAAAAAGAAGACCCTTTGCTTTTGCATCACATATGGTCTCTTCATGGTCTTTGGGGTTCTGACTCTGGGCACAACAGCCTTAGTATGTAGCAAACTCTAAAATCAAGAACTCTCTTGTTAAATGTTTCCACTGTCCCTCCATCTCTGCTGAATGCCTTCTGGTTTAATGTGTCCTGTAGGGGAAGTGCTAGTTCTAGCCTGACATCCCTTGCATGTGTATACACGAGAATCTTCTTACTCTGCCCAATAAACAAGGGAGTTATTCAAACTTAGAAATTCACAGAATCTGTGGATAATTTAGAGAAGTGACTTGGAACCGAATCAATTAGAGGCTACAATTTGGTGTCAATTAGTATAGCAGGAACAATCAAGTTAGAAGTTTTAGAACACTCAAATTTCATGTTGCAAACAGAGCACAGCTGAATGGTGTGGAACAGAAGTCCTCAGAAGGAATGGATACTAAGCAATTTTTAAAAACTTCTAAAATAAATAAATAAATAAATGAGTTTCAAAATCTATTTGAATGTTTTCCAATGAGTCTTCCTGTCTGAATTCTCTATAGTTTGTCTTTAATGCTGAAGCCAAAATGTTGTAAGCCAGTGAAGTCCTGAGTGAATGTGTATTGTTGACATGGTCATGGCCATTTCATGGACCAGTGCCTCAGCCTCACTGGAATGAAGCTCAGAGGGGCGGCAAAGCCTTCCTAGGGTCTGAGTGTTACTATTATAGTGAGTGCAGAAGGTACCTAGTTTTCTCACTCCCGCCCCCGTGCTTATGGTCTGAAGACTGATACCCTACAGAGACTTCTGTGCTTACCAACCTACCTCCTTGTTCAGATGTATTTAATATCCCATCCTTCTCTACCTGTGTGCAAAAACCCTGCCTCCCTGTTCAACTGTGTACAACAAAGACACTGAGATTTCAGGTTGCTGAGGTTTCTCCATCAGAGAGCCCAGCTTTCCTGTGTGTCTGTGTGCTTGTCTTAGTTCCCTCCCCTCTATCAGATCAATCCTTGGAGCCTTGGCACCGTCCTTCCTACACTATCCAGCCTCAACTTACCTCTGCAGGTTCGACACCCCCCCCTCCCCAAACACACACACTCCTTTCACTGGAAATTATATTCAGCTTTAAATCCCTTGCCAAAATGCTGCCCCTACTGCTGGGAGCCTTCAACTGTAGCAGTCTACTCAGTGGCTCTTAACTTCAGATCTGCTTAAGTATGGAGTAGACACACCTTCTGATTTACCACAGTGTTACCCAAAAGTGTAGTCCCACTCTGTGACAACAGAGGTGGAAAAGTGTGAATTGCTGATAGCTTTCTGAAAGTAACACAGCTGAGTCATAATTTCTTAAAGATTTATTTTTATTTGTGGGTGAGTATGCACCTGTGGAAGCTAGAAGAGGTATTGAATCTGCCAGAACTGGAGTTACAGATAGTTGTTAGCTGCCTGGCGTGATTTCTGGGAACTGAACTCTGGTCCTTTGCAAGAGCAAAAAGTGCTCTTAGCCTCAGACAGTTCTCCACCCCAAAGAATTATTTTTAATTGGTCCTTTACTATAGAGTCTGAGAAGCACTAATCTGTGGGATCCCACACTTGTATCAATTTTATATTTTCCTTTTTATAATCCCCCTCAATAAAAGCAATATTCAGGAATAGTGCCAAGGCTTTATTCATAATTTCATGATGTCTGTCTAGCACATTTAGATTTTAAAATGCCAGGGGGATGAAGAGTTGACTGGTTAAGAGCATTTCCTGCTCTTGTAAGAGGACCCATGTTCAATTCCCAGTAATCACATGGTGGCTCACAACCATTTGTTGTGATGCCAGTTCCAGGCCATCCAACACCCTCTTCTGACCTTGGTAGGCATCAGGCCTGTATTTACATACATGTAAACAAAACACTCATAACAAAATAAAATTTAAAATGACTTTAATGAGAATGTTTTAGAGTGGTAGAGAATGTCAGTCTGTCCCGTCTCTGTGTAATTATTTTTCCACCAACTAGTTTAGGTGAGCAGGAAGTTTAATGGAAAGGTTGTGGAAAACAGAAACTCTAAACTTTGAATACCCTTACAACTTTTATTCCATTTTGGATTTGTGAGTGTTCCTCCAGGAAAAAGAATGGATACACATGCATACATATTTGCATACACATTCTCTGTGTGTGTGTGGGGGGGTTGTGTGTGCGCACACGCACGTGCACACGCCTGCGAGTGTGTGGTACCCATGGAGGTCAGAAGAAGGCATTGGAACTGATGGTTTTAAGCTACCATGTGGATGCTGGGAACTGAACCCAGATCCTCTGCAACAGCAACAGGTGCTCTTAACCACTGAGCCATCTCTCCAGCCCCTGGTTATCAATGTTTTAAGCTCCATATCCCTTGGCACTCAAAATCTAGACATTTCCAAGAAGCATCGTGAACTATAACTTTTAATACTTGACATATTAGAAATTAAATTTGAGCATTGTGGTTCACACCTGTAACCCCAGCACTTGGGAGGCAGGGGCAAGTAGATTTCTGTGAGTCCGAGAACAGCCTGGCCTACAATAGTGAGCTCCAGGACAGCAAGAGCTACATAGTGAAATCCTGTCAAAGAGAGGAAAAAAATTACTGATCTCTTTTCAAATCAGGATTACTTAAGTGTTAATTACCTTAATTGTAGGTATTTTTACAGTGGTGATGTGATCACATGAATTTTTGGGACATCCAGTGGGCAACTTTTGTAACTACCAGCAGTTCTATATATGAAGTCTCCAATTTGACATTTTTAAAAGGTTTGTGATTTTTCAAGACATGGTCTTCCTATGTAGCCCTTGCTGTCCTGGAACTCAATAGACCAGGTTGGCCTTGGATTCAAAGAGATCTTCCGTACTTTGCCTTCCAAGTGCTGGGATTAAAGGTGTGTTTCACCACTAGTAGCTTTTAACATATTTTTAAAGACTTATTTTTATGTGTGTGATCATGCATGCATGCATATGTGTAGTGCCTTTGGAGAGTACAAGAGGACATTGGATTTCCTAGACTCGAGCACCTAATTTAAGTGCTGGGAACTGAACTCCTGTCCTCATCAAGAGCAAAGTTTTTCTTAACCACTGAGCCATTTCTCCACACCGTCCTCATTTGATAACTTTAAAGGACTGATATTTTGCACCATCATTTCCAACATGTATATATATGTTTCCAGTATATATGTGTGTATATATAAAATCAGTCCCCCATAAAAGATTTGTGTGTGTTCGTGCCCCATAAGACTGGGCTACTTTTGTGTTAGTCATCATTGTCTTCATCTTCATCTTCATCTTCAGTTTCTTCATTCTCCTCAGCTGAAAGTACACTAGCCTCTTGTGTAGTCCTGAAAGCCTGTTCCTCATCCACACTGGGATCATCCATTTCTGTAATTTCTGGTCCACTGGGATATTCTTGATAGACTGGTGGCAGGCCTGGGGGTGTGTAATTCTCCACACTATACTTATGACCCCAACCTATGTAGAAATTTTCAAACTTCCTGTAAGTGAAAAGAAAATAAAGCCATATCTCTTAAGAAAAGTTGACCCATTTATAGTAATAGTGTATTGTTACTATATCTTGGAACCATGTTTTTTTAAAAACAAGACATTTAAAATGCTGCAGCAGTCTTCTTGATCTAATTCCCTTGAAAGTGATTACCTAATAAAACATTTTAAATATCTTCTAGCAAAATGCTCATCAAAATAATGTCTAATTCAATTGCATCTTAAACTCTCCACTCACTTAGTGAGTGATGTAAAACCATGTCCAATATAGACACTAAGCAAGGCTAGCACTTTGAAAGCCAAATGCTTATGTTAATGTGCTTTCAATGTATCCTTTGTTTCTGTCTAAAGTTTCTGATGCAAACTGAGCATACACAGAGTCATTCCTATCTAGGATTTAAATCCCAAACCCTGTTATTTATGACCTTCAGCTAAACATGTCTCAAAACGTATCTGTCTTCCTTCCTGAATTGTGATTTTAGATTGAATGTGCTTGGAAATGCAGTGCTTACAACCCAGTAAACTCAGGAGTGACTCAGCCTTGGATAAATATATGGGCTCCCTGAACAAAGTCATCATTTTTCCATCCTTTTCCAGGAAGGTGGTTTGAAATGGATTTCTATGTTCTGTTCACCTGCCCTGAGTAAATAAATCCTTTCCCAGCTTTATGTCCTGATGGTTGCTTCGATTTTGCACTCACCAAACTATAAGCTGTTGAGTTTGGTTTGGTTTCATATAGCTTTGTAAGTGGCCAGATACTTACTTGCCATTGGAAAAGGCATATGCTCCAGGCCAAAGATTAGATCGAAGGACAGCAATAGCATACTGTGGAATGAGAACTGAGGACAGTCGTGTTGTCCAAGAGGGTATATTTTGAATATCTGAAACCCAATGAGAAAGTTACAAGCTTAGGTCTAAAATAGACAAGAATCTACTGGTAACTGAAGTGATTTTTATAAATGTAGAATAATCATCATTTGCTGTAAAAATTAAGAATATTTTACTAGTGTTCTTGACCAATATAATTTTAAGCATATATATGCATAGTACACACACATATATATACATTTATATCACATGTAAATATATAACAAACATATGTATAAACACTTTTGCAACAGAGCCTTTGCTAAAGGAGAAGTTTGTGTAACCAGAGGGAATAGTTTTGATAACCAAAGGAAGGGCAGTTCATTACTATGGAAAAGTTGCAAGCAAAACAGAGTAGCAAAGAAACAATACGGAGACAAGTGTAGATTAGAGTTCTTGGACCCCAGACTGATGGTTGAGAGGCCAGCATGTGACTGATCCAGACCGCCCTGAATGTGGTGTCAGTGAGGAGGCCTCAGCAATCTCTGGGGCCTTGGATAGTAGATCAGTGTTTACCATGGCATATGAATGAACTTTGGGAGCCCATTCCATATGGAGGGAACCTCTCTCAGCCTGGACACATGGGGGAGGGTCTAAACTATGGAGATTCCCCCACGGAGGGCCTCACCCTCCCTGGGAATGGCGTGGGGTTTGGGTGGGGGGTTGGTGGATTGGTAGAGGGGCAAGGGAGGAGGGGAGGGAGAGGGAGCTGGGATGGACATATGAAGCAAGCTTGTTTCTAATTTAAATAAAAAATATATTGAGAAAGAAAAGAAGACAAATCTAGAACATGTAACATTTTACTGTAGTTATGCCATGTATTTGTGTAAGACATGAATGATATCAACTTTTTCAGTTATTTGCAGCCTGTCCATGTTTCCTCTGTGTGCAACTCCTTCGGCCTCTTTTTTTTTTTTTCTTAAAGGATGTTAGTATAGCCAAAAGCATTCTTGATTCCCACCCTTACAGAACCAGGAAGGAGAGAAGGGATGGGACCTAGCTCTCTGCCCTACTTTTAGGGTTCCCAAGGTTGAATGTTTACCACACAATGTGCGTAATACATAGTTCATGCGTCCTCATTGGCAGTTGTTTAAAGTTACCTAAATCTTCAGAGATCGGTGTCAAAAGAGGAGGCCCCACTTCCTGTTCTATGTAGTCAGGCTCTTCTCCCTTTTCTTCTTTGTCTTCATCTTCTTCCTCTTCCTCCTCCTCGTTTTTTTGTATAGGGTTGAACCAAGTACAGCGACCCTGGAGATGAGCATTGCAAGGTATAATGGATGAATGACAACCTTACAAATGTCAGAATATTCATATTGGTTGGTCATATTGGTTATCAAGATGAGTCCCTCTGTGTCGGGAATTGGCCAACTATTCTGATATAGGGTCACTTTCTATGATTCCCCTGCCTCAGTTTTCACAGTGCTAGGCTTGCCAACACATGCTCCCACACTGAGCTTATTCATTCTGTATACTTTTACCAAGTATGACTTCCATCTGGGTCACTATATTAGCTATTTCAATAATTTTCCATTTCTCGGAGTTAAAGAACTTGAAGGTCTATGCATGCTTTAAAATGGGCAGAATTGTAATGGAAATGGCAGTAATGCATTTTACTAGTTTGCAATACTTTATATAAATGAAATAAATGGTGATATTTTTCTAAAAACACTTTTTCATTTCTTTTGAAGTGTTCTGATTGATTTTATTGATATGTTATTTTGGGTTAGAAATCATCAGAAAGGTTTTAAGATCACTTAACATTTTAAAATTCAATCATTAAAGCCAGGCATGGTAGCACACACATTTAATTCAAGTATTCAGGAGGCAGAAGCAGGCAGATCTCTGTGAGTTCAAGGCTAGCCTGTTCTACATAGGCTAGTCAGGAATGCATAATCAGACTCTGCACACACACCCACACGCACACACGCACACACATACATCTTTTTAAAAGGTGTATGTGTCTGTATGCAGGTGTCCATGGAAGTCAGAAGAAGACATCATATATCCTAGAGCTGGAGTTGCAGGCCATTGTGAGCCGCCTGTCAAGGGTACTGGAACCGAACCTGTGTCTTCTGGAAGAACAGCAAGCACTCATGTCCTGTTCCTATACTTTCTTATTTATGGAACATTCCTAAAATAGAGACACTGTAAGACAATGCCACAACAGTCCTGGTGAAATAGTTTATAATGGTACATATCTGGCCTTCACAGTACTTTTTGCTTGTTTGTTTTTGTTTTTGTTTTTTTGTGACAGGGTTTCTCTGTGTAGTCCTAACTGTCCTGGAACTCACTTTGTAGAACAGGCCGACCTCAAATTAACAGAAATCCACCTGCCTTTGTCTCCTGAGTGCTGGGATTAAAGGTGTGTGTCACCATCACCTGGCTATTGTACTTTTTTTAGTATTAATTTTTATTATCATCTAGTAACTGACAAAATAATGTTTTATTATGAGGTTTATGTTCAAGTATATAATATATTTAGCACCCATTGGCTTCTTTTGTATCCACTTCCAATGCTAATTATTAATAATAACAAATTTTTAAATGTGATGAGACTGGGATCCTAATTGCTCAGGTTATCTAGAGTACTCAGGAGTACTTATCTCTATGGAAGTGAAGATTTTCTACTCAAGATGCAAGAGTGTGTTTCGGGGGAAGGGCTCTGGGTCCTTTGTCGCCCACCTCACTCTGTAATGAATTAGCTAAGGTTGTTTTACCATTTCTCCCACCCTGTCTGCCTCAATCCCTCACTGTAAAATAAATGTAATCCTGCAACCTTCATGGGGTTGTGGTGAGGATCGATCGAATCACAGGTACTTACATCCATAATTGATTATATTTAGTGCATTTGACACAGAGCCTCTATATAACCACTGTTCAAAAGTAGTTTTCATTTCTGTAGTAATCTTTTAGTGTTCTTGATGTAAAAGCTTCATGTACAATAAAAGTAATGTTGACAAATTAATGCACATCAATATGTAAACTGTAACAGATCATTTGAGAACACGTGTAAATCTAAATCTATGTGCTACCCGAATACTCTCCTACCTGAGGAAGAATGTACTGTACGTGATGGACCCAATTGGATAGAGATTCCACCAGGTCAGTCACTTGGATGCCTTCAAAATCGGGGTTTTCCTCATAGCTGTTTCGACCACCTTCCACCTCTTCTTCTTCTTCTTCTCCTTCCTCTTCACCAAACTGATAAAACCCTAGAGGACTGACGTGGGTCCCTGCTGAAATGCGGGCAATTTGTGCTCTTAAGTAATTGCTTTCATTTCCTGGGAAGGGTGGGTAGCTTATGATGGCCGCATCTAGTCGCCCAGTGAAAAATTTCTTGATTTTTCTTGCAGTAACAATTTGTGCAGGTGTAACTGATGGTAACTTCGTCCATGGCCTTCCAGGTTCATTGCAAACAAAATAGACATACTTGTTGGTACCTGTTCTGTCTTCTTCCTTAGGTATAGCCTGTGGGGCCTTATACAAGGACTTGGGTAATTCATCCTCCTCACCTTCACTGGCTTCACGTTCTCCATCCTCCCTCTCCTCTGCTACCCCTTCCTCTTCCACCTCCTCCTCCTCCTCCTCCTCCTCACCATCACGAAATTCCACTTCAGCAACAATATAGTTCATTTCCAGACCCAGGATCTTGCCCCAGAAGCGGCATCTTTGGATTGGGTGGGTGTCCGTGAGTTGTTTGAGGGCAAGAAACACCCGATAAGTCTCATCTGTCCCCAAACCAACTCCAGCTTGTTCAAAATAATAAGCTGATTCCATCACATTGGGCAGAGAGCTTTCTACCTAGGAAAACAAATATCCATGATTAAAAGTTTATTCATAAGAGGAATGCTTGCCTCTTTTCTGTTGTCTTGATACTAGCTCTACTTTCTCCTCTACTCTTTGTGTATGAAGACATGCATCAACATGTTAATTCCTAAACTTCAGTTCTCCCCTTATATGAAAAGCTTCTTACATCGATTATTTACCATACTCACTGATATGATAGCTATTTTGTGTTATATGACTCTTAGAAGGAACTTAATAATTACTAATGATAAAAATTCAAACCGGGCATAATGGTTCACACATGTAATCCCAGTACTTAGAAGGTAGATCTGTTTGAGTTTGAGGTCAACCTAGCCTGTATAGTTGTATAGTGAGGGATATATATATATATATATGAAGGCTCTATTTGAAAAAATAAGCTTCAACATCATTTTTCATTCAAAAAAAGGGAATAATGCTAAAATAAGATATAGTTTACCTTATAGACACATATTTATATACATCTGTGTTGTTATTTCAAATATGTATTAAATTAATAGTTTTACATGTAAGTTGGGTATATAACAATCTGTATAGTAATATATGCGAAATAATGGAAAGGATAAAAAAGGAAAACTTTTTTGAAGTGCTTGGTATGATCGACACTTTAAATACAAATGTCAGTACTTGACAGGATATAGTAAATAACAACACTCGAAATAATGAAAACAAACATAATTCCATAAAAGAAATATAGGGAAATAAACACGGGGTGCTAAGTAGACAATAGAATAGCATTTACAAAGACCAAAGGGAAGTACCAAGGATCCTTAACTGAAGTGAGATGCTTCTCAGACAGTCTTGACTCACAGGCTGGAGAGAGCAACTACAAGCACTCATCATTCTTACGAATGACTAGCTGTTATTTTTATTTTCCTTTGTGGTGTCAAGGGCTATTGTAAAGGGCGATGGTTCTCTGATTTCTTTCTCAGCCCTTTTATCATCTGTATATAGTAGAGCTACTGATTTTCTCCAACCTTTCCAATACTGTCCTTGAAGTGTTAGCTAGAGAAATACAACAACAAAAGGAGATCAAGGGGATACAAATTGGAAAGGAAGAGGTCAAACTTTCGCTATTTGCAGATGATATGATAGCTTGCATAAGTGATCCAAAAAACTTTACCAGGGACCTCCTACAGCTGATGAATACCTTCATCAAAGTGGCAGGATACAAGATCAACTCAAGAAAATCAACTAAGAAAGAAATCAGAGAAATATCACCCTTTACAATAGCCACAAACAACACAAAATACCTTGGCGTAACGCTAACCAAACAAGTGAAAGATCTGTATCGCAAGAACTTTTAGTCTTTAAAGAAAGAAATTATAGAAGACACCAGAAAATGGAAAGATCTCCCATGCTCTTGGATAGGTAGGATCAACATAGTAGAAATGGCAATCCTACCAAAAGCAATCTGCAGATTCAATGTAATCCCCATTAAAATACCAGCACAATTCTTCACAGACCTTGAAAGAACAATTCTCAACTTTATATGGAAAAACAAGACATCCAGGATAGCCAAAACAACCCTGTTCAACAAGGCAACATCCGGAGGCATCACCATCCCTGACTTTAAGCTGTATTACAGAGTTATAGGCCTGAAAACAGCTTGGTATTGGCTCAAAAATAGACAGATAGACCAATGGAATCGAATTGAACACCCTGATATTAACCCATACATGTGTGAACATCTGATTTTTGACAAAGAAGCTAAAAATATATAATGGAAAAAAGAAAGCATCTTCAGCAAATGGTGCTGGCATAACTGGATGCTGGCATGTAGAAGAATGTGCATAGATCCATGCCTATCGCCATGCACAAAACTTAAGTCCAAATAGATCAAAGACCTCAACATAAATCCAACCATACTGAACCTGTTAGAAGAGAAAGTGGGAGGCACCCTTGAATGAATTGTTACAGGAGACTGCTTCCTGATCATAACTCCAGTAGTACAGACACTAAGATTGACGATTAATAAATGTGACCTCCTGACACTGAGAAGCTTCTGTAAGGCAAAGGACACAGTCAGCAAGACAAAAATGCAACCCACAGATTGGGAAAAGATATTCACTAACCCCACATCTGATAGAGGGCTGATCTCCAAAATTTACAAAGAACTCAAGAAGCAAGTCTCCAAAACAACAAAGGATCCAATCAAAATATGGGGTACAGAACTAAATAGAGAATTCTCAGTAGAGGAGTCTAAAATGGCTGAGAGACCCTTAAGAAAGTGCTCAACATCCCTAGCCATCCAGGAAATGCAAATTAAAACAACTCTGAGATAACCGTCTTACTCCTGTCAGAATGGCTAAAATAAAAAACTCCAATGACAGTTTATGCTGGAGAGGATGTGGAGAAAGGGGAACACTCCTCCACTGCTGGTGGGAGTGCCGACTTGTACAGCCACTTTGGAAATCAGTATGGAGATTCCTCAGGAAAATGGGACTCAGTCTGCCACAAGACCCAGCAATTCCACTCTTAGGCATATACCCAAAAGATGCACATTCATACAACAAGGATGTCTGTTTAACTATATTCATATATTATTTGTAATAGCTAGATCCTGGAAGCAACCTATATGCCCCTCAACTGAAGAATGGATAGAGAAAATGTGGTACATTTACACAATGGAGTACTATTCAGCAGAAAAAAACAATGGAATCTTGAAATTTTCAGGTAAATGGCTGGCACTAGAAGAAACCATCCTGAGTGAGGCAACCCAGTCACAAAAAGAGAAGCATGGTATGTACTCACTCATTTATGAATTTTAGACATGAATCAGGGGAGTGCCAGCATACAATCCCATTGCCCGAGAATGTGGGAAACAGAACCTTCATCCAGCGACTAATGAAAGCAGAGGCAGATACCCACAGATAAATTCTGAACTAAACTCTTGGAATCCAGTGTCAGAAATGGAGAACTGATGGGCAAAGGAGTTAAGACTGGGCTGGTTTAACCCACAATAACAGTTGACCTGAACAAGGGGGAGCTCTTGGACCCCAGATTGATGCCTGTGTGGAAAGCATGGGACTGACCTGACCCCTTGAATGTGGGTGTCAGTGAGGAGGCCTGGGTAATCTATGGGGCCTTGGGTAGTATTTATCCCTGGCATGCAAATAGACTTTGAGTGCCCATGCCACAATGAGGGATGCTCTCTCAGCCTGGACTCTTGAAGGAGGGCCTAGACCCTACCCTGGATGACACGACAGACTCTGGAGATCCACCATGGAGGACCTCACCCTCCCTGGGGATCAGAGTGGAGATTGGGTGAGGGACTGGGAGGCCTGGTGGGGAGGGATAAGGAGGAGGGGAGGGGGAGGGAGGAGGGGAGGGAGAGGGGTCTGGGAGTGACATGTGAAACAAACTTGTTTCTCACTTTAATTTAAAAAAGGAAGAGAAACAAAGATAAATATAAAGACATTTTGGGTTTTTTGTTTGTTTGCTTGTTCGGTTGTTTGAGACAGGTCTTAGTGCATAGCCCTGGCTGGCCTAGACCTCACTCTGTAGTCCAGGCTGGCCTTGAACTCACAGAGATCTATCTGCCTTTGCATCCAAGAGATGGGATTAAAAGCCACCTGGCCTGGCTACTATAATATCTTTTAAAATCCTCACCAGTGTCACAAGATTGCAAAATTCTTTCCCTGTAGAGTGTCACTTGCTCTTGGTCCTGCCCACTTATCTACATCGTCATGGGGTCAGAAGCACAGCTGTGGAGGTGGAAGGATAATTTACTGGAGTTGGTACTGTCCTTAAGCATGTAGGTTCCAGGACTGAACCCAGCCAGGCCTTTAGGCCTGACAGCAGGAGCCCTTACTCTCTTTCTGGACCCAGATGGGAAGTTGTGCTCTTCATCCCGTAACTCAGCCCCTGCATTCCATGGTTGCTGGCCTGAACCTTCATAAGAAGATGCTTGGTCAAGAGCGGTTGGGCTCCAGACCCAAAACAGCTGGGTGTCTTCTCACTCACCTCCTATATCGGGATGTAGAACCTGACCTAGTGAAGCTGCTTTAGACAGCTGGGAGCCCCGTCCCTATATGTAATACTGACATTTCTTTATGAAGCTATCCCTGAGACTGTCTGCCATCTGCTTTGTCCCCACATACTGAATGTTTCCACAGTTCTCATGGATGTATCTGAACCATGCCACTCTGTGAAGCAGCCTGGTATCAGCTCCTTACTCCTATCACAGGTTCCTTCCATCCAAGGACTCTGGGTCTCGTTGCAACAGGCAGCATTTCTGCTGCACCAAGGTGTATTTGAGGGTGCGGCCAAGCCCTTGTCTTTATTGCCTTTCCCTGCAGGATTCTATTTTGAAAATGATTCATTTGAAATATGTTTTAAATGGGTGTTGTTAATAGAACATGGGAGGCCAGAATTGTTAAGTATATGGACTCTTAGGAAAAAGGATGTTATTTAGAAATATTTGAAGTTCAAATTTTTGTGAGGCTTTTACTCAATACTATTTAACTCCTGCCTTCTGTTACCAATTCTTTCTCCAAATATTTTCACCAACTTGACTATCAAGAATTTCTAAAGAATTTTATTCCTAACCAATTGTACTTTGAACCGTGGTTAAGCTATGTAAAATATCAAGGCAAATGATGCTTACTGTAAACACACACACACACACACACACACACACACACACACACACACACGTAAGAAGTGACAATAGAAGTGCTTTTAAGTTTTGAACTTAATTTAAAAGAAAATATGCAACTTGATTTAAAGCTTTTAATTATAGGCACATATCCCTTTATGGTGACACTTTTGAAGGAATTTCATTCAGCAAGTTAGTCTGCAAATATCATGGAATGAGCTTCTTTAAGCCTATGTGATATATCCTCCTAAACACTCAGTATATATAACAGCGTACTTACCTTAAAATCATTTTAATCTTTATGTGTATTGGTATTTTTGCTTGCATGGTTGTGTATCTCATGCATGTGTTAGATCTCCCTGGAATGGAGGTGTGGTTGTGAACCTTCATGTAGGCATGCTTGGAATCAAATTCAGGTCCTCTGGAAGAGTAGCCAGTGCCCATAACCACTGAGCCCTTTCTCCAGCCTCCTACCCCATCTTTTAAGAAAGAATCTCTTTATGACTACATTGATGACCTGGAGTTCACTTAGTAGACCAGACTAGCCTTGAACTCAAACACATCTGTCTGCCCTGATCCTGCCAAATGCTAGGATTAAAAGCATTCTCTACAATATCCAGACTGTGTTTGCTTTTAAATAAGGCTTTCTCACCGCGGCAGGTTTGCTCACGGAACCATCACCACAAAAGCGTAACATAGTCTTTTGTACCTCATTTCACAACACTACCTTCTCTAGGAGTTTCTCATATTTTCACATTTTACTGGGGTTAGATTTTCTAATGTTTTTCAGGACTAAGGTTCTTTGTATCAGAGAAAATGATTTCTTCATATTTCTTGTTGTTGAAATGTCCTGGAATAGATATGGATTTATGGCTGCTTTTTAAGTATTCACCGAATAATGAGTCTATGATGGTGTGATTAAGAATGTTCTCCATTGACTAGTATATTTGAATGCTTATTCATCAGGGAGTGGAACTCTTTGAAAGGAGTAGGTGTGACTTTGTCTGAGGAAGTGTGTCACTGAGAGTGGGTTTTGAGATGTCAAAGCCCATGTCAGATCTAAGCTCTCTCTTGGCCGGTGGATCAGGTTGTAGTTCTGATCTACTGCTCTAGCACCGTGTGTGCTGCCATGGTTTCTGTCATGATGATAATGGACTAAACCTCTGAAACTGTAAGCAAGACCATAACTAAATGGGTTTCTTTATGAGTTGTTCATGGTGTCTCTTCACAGCAATAGAACGGTGACTAAGAATGGATCCATCCACTGAGACTGGAATGCCATCTTTAATTATGCACCAAATAGTGACTTTCTAGAAAATGACAGACATCATGTATGACAAATGTCCTATAAAAGGATGAAAAATTTCATACCAGCTACTGACATGGAACTGACCATATGATCATAGTGGAATGCATTGATTAGAAAAGGCCTGAAGGCATGTAATAAAAGTCTGATTCAAATACTATTTACAACTGCTATAAGAGGAGTTGGCATGCATAAGCAAACGTCTTCATTCCTGAGATTCCAGGGTTCATCAGTAGCATCACGATCTGTGGTAATCACTTACTACTATTTACAGAGCTATAAGATGTATGTTCATAAAAACCCCACCCTTCCCTGAGACTCCAATGCTCATTAACGGTGTTGAGATAGTTGGCGATCACTTACAATTTCCTCCTCCAGTTCTGGATCAGCGCCTTCCAACTGTCCCTGGAGAAAAAGAGCCTTTTGCTTCTCTGCTATTTCATATGCTGGAAGCATCTCATTTTCATTGTGGAGTGTATCTAATTTTTTATTAAAATTTGCCATTTTCACATCTTTGCTTATATTTTCAATGATGTCAACAGCATCTGCAGGACGTTCATCTAATATCACGGTCAACACATTGGAAAGATGATCATATCTATTCAAACAGAGAACATCATGAACACTTAAGTTTTTCTTTCATGCAAATTCAGTTGGGTTTTAGGGAAGTTAAAAATTTGAAATCTTAAGAGATTTTGAAGATAAGCTAATTTCTGCCACCCCAGATAGAATCTACTCCAGAATTTTCTTTAGTAAATCTTCTAATATGATGTGGATATTTAAGTTAGTAGATATATAATACACATCAGCTATTTCACTTTTCATTTCTGAAATTGAAATCTCTTAGCTATATACTAACAGTGATGAGCATTTTCACTTTTACCTTAATTATTTTCTGTTCCCCATCCTTGCCTTCACCAATATAATATAATCTGATATCCAAATCCTATTAATTCTTTATTAATTTTATTAAGATTAATTTTTGACAAAGAAGCTAAAATATAAAATGGAGAAAAGAAAACATATTCAACTGGTGTGCTTAACCACTAAGCCCTCTCTCCAGCCCCTACATCACATTTTAAAATTTAAGAAACAATTTGCTTCAATGTTTCTAGGCTCCTAAAGAAAGCATTTCATATTGTCATCCACCCACATACAGTTAAAAAACAAGCCATCGGCTTATTTGCTTCTTCCCTTTGTTTTAGGCTGTTTTTGTTAGTTCTTGGAGAATTTTATGTGTTTTGACTATATTTACCTTCCCTCTCCCAGTTCTTCCCAGATCCAGATCCACCCACCCAACTTTGTGTCCTGTTTTGTTTATTCCATCAAGGCCAATTCATGCTACCCAGATATTCTTAGATGTGTGGCCTTCCTCTGGAGCGATGACTATAACATTCTGTGTCACTGCATTTCACAATTAAGTTAGCATAGCTGCATTTACCCTGCCATTAATTAATCATAATTTGTTCATAACTCACAGTCTATAGTTTTCAAGCATCAGATTTTATAGGGACCACATAGGATTTGCACACTACTGTATACTTAATCTCCTGGCACAATACTGATTCACAGAATAAGGATAGATGGATGGATGGATGGATGGATAGATGGATGGATGGATGGATAGATGGGGAAATAGGGCAAGGCCTCTAGCCTATGCCGCCTGAGAATCTATTTCCAATGTCATCAAAATCTACTGCATTGCCTCCTATTTTGTTAGTAAACACTGAGTGACAGCTGAATAAGAAATGAGGAAAATAAACACCAGCTCCATGAGATCCAAGGGCACCCATATTCATAAGCACACACACACACATAGGTGCATAATTTAAAAAAAGATCTTTGTTATGACCTGGAGTGATGTAGTGATTAAGAGTACTTGCTGCCCTTTGGGAGGACTGGAGTTGGGTTTCCAGGACTCACATGCACCCACACTGTATCTGGAAGAAATAGCCTCTAGTTCTTGGTGCTATTTACTCATATTTTGGAGCCTGAAGATCCCTAGTGGGAGGACCAGGCATTAAAATATACGTTCATAAACATTTATAAAATTATAAATGTCACAAAGTGCCATGAAATACAAGAACACACTCCTTCAAGAGAGTTCCATGGCAGTTGAGTTCCAAAGGGTCAGGAGCTAACTAGGCAAAGACTAAGGGACAGAGTCTTTGCAGCAGAGGGATCATGGGAACTGACTATTTCTTGTGACCGGAGAAGAGCAATGAGAAATGAAACAATGAGTAATGAGAATCAAGCAAATTTAGTTATCCATGGGTTTTTGAGTCAGGTCCTTCATATTAAAAAAGAATGATTTGATTTGATGCTTTCTTTTTTAAAAAATAATTTATTAACATTAAAAAATATATGGGTGTTTTGCCTGCAAGTAAGTCTGCAACTGGTGTGTGCTTGATGCCAGGGAGGCCGGAAGAGGGCTTCAGAACTCTTGAAACTAGACTTACAGACAGGTATGAATTATGAATTGAACCCGGGTTTTCTAAACGATTAGCCAGTACTCTTTGTCACTGACCATCTCTTCAGTCCCCATTTGATATTTTTGAACCTTGCTTCTAGACATAAAATTCATTGATGGTTATGTAATCCTTGAAGCAAAAATGTCTAGAAACCTACCCTACTATGAGTTCTCATATTAAAGCTGCAATGACATGTGAAGAACATACCGGGGCAGTTAGTTATCACTTGTTTAAAGAGAGACTAGAATGTTTTTAAAGTAGCCAGATTTTCCGGTTTCCTGTAGATTAGAGGGCATACAACTTTCGGTGCTCACATCATAGGACACCTCTAAGAAAACCAGGATGGGTGGCCACCCCAGCACTGGCCTGGCACTGAACATAAAGTCAAGTTACACAAATCCTGGAATGGTTACAAGAGGAGACACTGTCAATGTAGGCAAATACATTTCACAAGCATCCTGGGTAGATGCTTGGATTTCATGACTTTATCACTACTTGTAAGTCAAGGATAAACAAACCAAACAGCAACAAGACCCAAACCAAACAAAAAATACCTGAACTATGTGACTAGGGTCTTCAAGACCTAAAAGAATAGTCAGCAGTGACCTGGATTTAAGTGTTTGGTACAGTTATCTCACTAATTCACTTTCCTTGTATTTCTTCTCTTTTGTTTGTTTTTGAGACAGGGTCCCACTGTGTTGCCCTGGCTGACCTGACACTTTCTGTGTAGACCAGGCTGTGTAAACCGGAGATCTGTCTGCCTCTGCCTTCCCACCCAGGTCCTGAGATTGAAGGCCTATGCCACCACATCCATAACTTTTCTTTTTCCAAATGAAAGCCTTTCCGATTCTATCTCCTTTGGTCTCCAACACATTTTTACAGAGACACTCCCCTCACTCTGCCCCTGCCCTGCTTTGTCAACCTGTCCTTTCTTCCACCCCCCCAGTGATACTTACAGGTTTAAACCAGACTGGCTGCTGGTACTCAGCAGGTATGCCTTTGCATTCTGAATGGCCACCTCAAGCATACTGGGGGTGGCTTCATTGGCCCCAAACTCAGGCTGGTCTGGATCACAGTTACTGCCTGAGTCTTCCTCCTGTAAAAGGTCGAATCTCAGCCCTTTGGGCTTGGGCTTGTCACGACTGGCATTCTCTGGCCCACGCAGGTCAGCCTGGGGTGGCTGAGACCGGGGGAGGGCGTTTTCCTCTGATTGGCTCGTGTAGTGAGAAGTTAATTGTCTTGCAGCAGCAGCAGATGGGTCCCAGGGATCAGAATGAGTTGTCACAGCAGCATCAGGAATCCCACTAGGGACCCTCTCTGCCGGTGGTGAAGCCACACGGTCCTGCGGAAATGCAATCAGGGGAGGAGTGGAAGGAAATTCAGGAGGGAGCAGAGGAGGGGAGGATGGCGCCCCTGGTCCGGTGAGGTCTCCCAGAGAGACGCTGGCTCTAGACTGGCGGCCCCAAGAGGGACTCATTCTGCTATGAGGTTCATTGTCTGATCTTTGTTCCTCTTCCCCGCACTCAGGAGCAGGGAGACCAGGATCCTGGGGAGAAGCTGCTGGCGCTCCTTCCCATGGCGTCTCTGTTTCTTCTGGCTCTTGGTTTTCTCTTTCTTGGTTCAGAGTAGAGTTTTCCATAGGCGGCAAGAAATAAAAAAGCTCTAGCTAAAAGGAGAGTTGAGTTATGGAAGGAAGCAATATGTGGCTTTACTGAGATCTAAGCGATCAACTTCTGGGCCCTACAAGCAGCTCAGGTTGCAGCGTCCTGTCTCCATAGCAACCCCAGGCTGGCCTTCTCTATGGGGAAAAAAAAATCAAGCAGCCCTGTCACTAGGGTTCTAGGGAGGAGACTAAGACAAAAAGCTGTAACTTTGTGATTTGGTGAAGTTTCTGTCCTTCTGCCTAGCTCAGTCAATCCGAACTCGACCCTTTCGGTTTTGTTTTAGAAACCCGGGACCTGCAAATCCTCTGCCTAAAGCATAGACTGGGAGGAACTGTGGCCCGGTGCTGGAGGTCTTTAAGCGGTCTTTAAGCGTGTGTGTGACAGCTTGTTCTAGCAATGATGCGAAGTATGAGCTCTGAGCTAATGGAAAGACGATTATTCTCTGTGTATCTCCCACGTTGTGAGAGACAGATAAAGACACAGGTGGTAGTGTTGAGAGCGCCAAGATAACCTTGTAGATTAGCTGACCAGGACACGGAGAAACACACTGTTTCAGGCACCAGGAAAACCCCAAAAGCAGACTTAGGGTGCATAAGCATCTCACTGAACCAACCTTCTGCGAACAAGAACTTGTGAAAGGAAGCTGCGTCTATCCACGTGGGAAAACTCCTGAACGTGATCTGTGACTACAGAGACGGACTGACAGGTTAGAATTTCAGGATCGTGGAGAGATTAGAATGTTACAAGTTCAAACGCTAATTTCCTTATCTTGGGCCAAGTTCTGGCCCTCCAGGACAGTCATTCCTTGCCCCACTGTGTTCCAATTAGCATCTTGTGTCAATAGATAAAAACCTTTTGGGGACTTATTAGCTTAGCAGACCACTAACTTCTGCCAAATGCCACCAGACAGCACCTTAGAGGACGAGAGTAACTCCCCACATATTGCACCTGCCTCTCTGAAGTACCCACCAATGGATTTTAAAGCTGCCTTGATCTATGACTTCCTTTGTTCATCAATCGATAAAAACTTGATGAAACTGCTTCCACAGTGCACCGTGGAATTTTGGGTAACCTAAATCTGTGTTCCTAGGCCACAGTCACCCAAAATAACTCTGACCCCTTAGGATGAGATAGCGGCTTTTGCATCATCAATTACGGCACCACAATTTGGGATGTCGACCGGGTTTTCATTGGTTGAGTGACCTGAGAGGAAGCCAGGCGTCTGTGTGAACCCACTGAATCCAGGCCATCTGCTGTTATTTCCTCAGTGGACTGTTGATGAATTCTTTCAGGACTCTGAACCTCCCTTGGTTTGGCTAGTAGTCCATTTTGTTTATTCTGAGCTGGTTAGGAAGGGTCCTACTTTGATAGATAGGAGGATCCTATTTTGATCCTCCACACTCTTAACCCCATTCCAAAACTGGTAGGGGGTTGTCACTGTTCCCTCAATGCTGGAAGGCCATAGTTGATAAAGTCTCATTTTTCTCATTGCAATGGATACAGGAAAGAGGTACGATTTCAGTGTTGTTGTTGTTATTCGTCTTCTTCCTACAACAACAACAACTACTACTACTCCTACTGCTATTTATCCTTCTGCCTCAGCTTCCCGAGAGCTGGAATTACAGCCCCGCACGCTCTTATTAATGTAGGATGAGAATGGTTGACAAGATGCTACTGACCTGTCTCTGAAAATGCAGATGTCAGTGGGAGGAAGAAAGAGATGATATCTCTGCTTGTGCCCATGTAGTACAGGAATTGGTAAACAGCCTGCCACTCATTAATGACATCAAGGGTTAAGGAAGCAAAGTATAGTTTCTTACATTGTATTCATCTGGGATAAATATGTAAATATTCTGTTGACAGGTCATCACTGATCTTAGTATCCTGGCCTTTAGATTTTTGAGTGCAGACTTTTTATGAATGGGCTTGAATATGTAGAATGGTAAACAAAGAACAGAGCTTACCACTGTAGCATCCCTAAAGTCATGTGATCTCTGGGCAATCTTCCTTCTTTCCTTCACCCATTAGAATTTATGTTATAGTACGACCAGAGGCCCTTTGCCAGGATGTTGCTGCCATGCTCTTAGGGCCTCTCAGCTAGGAGAACTGTGAAGGAAACCTAATATTAGGCATTGTTTCCAAAGACAGATTCTCAAAACCCAGAATTTTAATAACACAGAAAGATCAGAAGGGGACTCAGAAAGCACCGAGAATAAAAGTACTTCAGAAAAATATTTGTCAAACTTGTGGATACAAGTGCTCAGAGAATATCCATAGCCTTAAAATGATTCATTTTTAAAAGGGTCAAAGTTTATAGTAGATGAGGTAAGCATCTCACTTAAAACAATAGAGGAAGGGAATGGGCAGAATCTGAGGTGCAGCTTGGAATAAAAAGGCACCTTTGTTTTTACATTCGGTGTGTTGCTTCCTCAGTGGTCAATTTTTGGGGTTCCTCACACTAGGCATAATACTACCATAATTGACTTTTATGTCCCTCTTTTAGAGGTGGGAAGACTGGTCACTGTGGGGGGCACCATTCCCTCTGCTATGATCCTGGACTGTACAAGGAGAAAAGAATACACTGAGCAGAAGCCTTCACAGTCTCTGCTTCTTGGCTGCAGCTACTTGTGTGACCAGCAACTTGAGGTCTGAGACTAACTCCACAGTTTTATGGATGGTAATCTGAAATTGGGAGGCAAACGAACCCTTTCTCCCTTAAGTTGCTTTTGCTGGGGTATCTTTTTTCCACAGAAGCAACAGAAGTAAATAAGATAATAACCTTATTATCAAAAGTAATGGAGGTCATCTGTCTTTCATTCTGAAATCATCCATATAATTAATCTGCTTAACCCAATATTATTGTTTTGAAATATCTTATGCAGTGCTCTTCATTTTATTTTTAAAATTTTCCTCTGGATTTTATCTCCTTGGATATTTCCCTAGCTCATTTTGGTCTTGAATTCATATACAATCCTCAAATTTTCTAAAAGAATATCATTTTTTCTTTGGAGTATCTTTGGTTTAGTGTAGAAGGATAAAATAGTGAAAGAAAACATCTAGAGAAAATTATGACATTATGGCCAATGGTACCGGGAAGACATTCCTTTTTATGTCTATATATTTTATTATACAGTGTTACATGAAGTCATTGACATATAGGCTTTCAATATACATTAAGTATATTATACCCATGCCCACTGGCCTCCTCCTCCACCCCTTCGCTCTGCACTGACTTGATTAGTTTAATATATTATTAAGTTTTCCTGATGGTGGCATGGCTTTACTCTTTTTTTAAAGATGAAAAAATTCTTTGTTTCAAGTCTTTGTTGTTTGAAATCTAAGTTGGTTCTGGAACAGGATAAATAAAAGACCCAGAGGCTGATATTGGGGTTCAAGCTTCAAGCTGAAGATCAGAGAAGCAAAGCAGCCATTAGCTCTTACTTCTACCTCAGCTCAGAGCAAAGGGATGATCCTCAGATTTCTCCTGACTTCACTCCTCCTCAGATTCACTCAGACTGCTGTGCTCTCCTCAGTGTGGCTAAAGACTAATTCTCAGACTGAATGTCTCAACCTTTTATACCTCTCAAATCCTGGCATTAAAGACATGAACTCTGATTCAATCTTGTGAATCCTTGAACTCTGGGTGGCCTTAAACTCAGAGAGATCCATCTGCCTTTGTCTCCTGAGTCCTGGGAATAAAGATGTGTGCTATCCCTGCCTGGTTTCTATGGCTAGCTAGTATGGCTGCTTTGCTGTTTTGATCCTCAGTGGCTTTAATAAATCATCAGCAATATATCACCACATGGTTCCACAGCAGTGATTGTGAATAGTGACACAATACCTGTTTCAAAAGTCAAAAAATCAACTTAAACTCCAAGTCGTCTGGAAGAATTGTTAGCATTTTACTCACAAGAAAAATAGCATCGTGTAAGGGAAGGATATCACTTTTGAATGTCCCAGCATTGTGATCAACACACTCATTAGAGATGACAGCTCTTCAGAAGCAACCCCAGCCTCCAATTCCTGCCCCTATGGGCTCATCCACAATCCATGGAGCCTTTATTGCTCTGATGTTACCAAAATAGGGTCATACAGACTGAAGAACACATGTCTATCTTTAATGCATAAAGGAGAGAATCCAGTACAGCCATCTCAGGGACACCTAACGAATAAAATGCCTCTTGAATTGCCATTCCTTGCCATCTTTTTGTGTTAACCCTGACCCTGCATTCTGGCCTAGAGCAGCTCTTCCGGACATGCTCTGCCTTCACCAGCCAAATCAGGCATTTTTCACAGCAGACCTACTGGCTGAACATTTACCATTTACAAGGCAGCTTGTGATGCCATGAAGAGGCCAGAACTGTAATAAACACTGTTGAATTACATTTCAGACATTTAAGAAATGCTCTGGGCTCCATTTCATGAGACATTTGCATTTGTAATGAAAGAGAAAAAGATCCATGACTGAGTTTCCAGTTGCAGGTTAACAGGCCCTTTTATGTTGTGAGGGTTTTTTGCAGGAGCAATTACGAATTGTGTAGATTCATTATTTCTTGAGCACTTTATCAGAACATTTCCCCATACATCTATTTGTCCTGTCTGAAATGTAACTTGATATAAGGGATTTTCTTAATTGCCTTTGAAACTCTTCCGAGATAATTACTGCTTTTTGGAGCATGATAAAAGACAGTAGACAATATTGCCAGCCTCTCTCAGGATCACGTGCTGAAGTTTTGGGGGTAAGAGACAGTGAAAAATGGTGATGTTTGTTTCTTGTACTATTTAGTATCTCTATTTTAATTTCCATTCAGCTTAAACAGCTTTGTCATGTACAAAAATAGCAAAAAGAAGTTGTCTCATTTTTGTCTGCCACCCAGAAATGATTATCAGTTTCAGGATAGATATTTTCAATAAATTAAATTTTTTTGAGACAGAGTCTCTCCGTGTAGCCCTGGCTGTCCTGGAACTCACTCTATAGACCATGCTGGTCTTCAACTCACAGGGATCTACTAGCTTTTGCCTCCTAAGTGCTGGAATTAAAGGTGTGTGTCACTACAAAAAACAAAAACAAACAAATAAGCAAGTAGTACAGCTGGG